TTACCTATTGGCAGCCCACTTTTGGAGCATTTCTTGCAATCAGCTGTATGGACCACTCGGCTCCTTTTATCCATCCAGAGTGGAGATCGTTATTTTGAATGATTCTCACAATTAAAAAGTGTGGAGCAAATTCTCACTTAATCTGCTGTACATTCTATGTGGGTTCCATATTTCACATGATATGGAAGTTATTGTTTCTACATCCTCAATATTCGCAAATATAGGATCTTGTCGAGTGAGATGGTCCTAGACCTTCCGGGAGGTGATGTGGGTGTATCCCTTTCGTGTGACATGTTTCCTTCAGCTGTCTCCAGTGTGATCCATTGCGTTTCCTTGTACCTTCTCATTTTCCTTAAAGAATATTTTGAAGCGCGTCAGAATTGAAAAATGTATACCCAAGTTGTATTTTTTTTTTAAAGAATATTTATTGGGTTTTTAACACTTACATTGTAACAACCATACAGGCGACATAGAAAGCATATCATGTCGGCATAGAAATGTAGAAAATCTTGAACTGCATCCTACGAGAAACATTACATAGAAAAGTTAAGTGTTCTTGGATTAGAGAACCCCTAGCAAGGGGCAGGTAGAGATCAATATCTGATAGGCAGCTGTGACATAGTGATGAAAGCGAGAAGATTTGTTAGCTGGAAACAAACATTGATGGAAAAGAACAGGGGAGATGATAGGTATGGTGTAGGTTTTGTTTCTGGGTATGTAAGATGTAAAGACGTATTGGCTGATGTCCACTATGGACACAAAAGATAGAAATAAAATATGGAGACAAAAGGAGAACAGCTATGGTTGTATTGTGTTAACGGTTTTTCATACTATGTTTCATGCTTTTGTGATATGAGATAAAAAAAAATTGTATTTTTATACAATACAGTAGTTGGAATGCCTAAAAGGTCTAATCCAGATAGTCCAATTTTGTAGCATGAAATATGAGTTCATGTTGGTGGATTGATTCTTATTTGTTTCGTAAAGTTGCTGTTACAAATTTAGCTGAATGGTCAGCCAATCTTTATATGAGATGAAAGGGCAAATAAAAGTAGATTTCCTTTCTGTCTGTGTATACTTGTCACATACCTGGTAGTGATGTGCAGAGGAAGGACTCTCGTACAGCTGCGGCTCAGGGGTCACCAATAGTGGAACAGTAGCCATGAGAGCGCGGCGAGGTATGAGTGCCGTGATCAGTCCAGTAGTCTGTGTATGTAGTAGTTGTCACTTCACTGAAAGGATGCCAGGAATCAAGCAGTCGGTGGTAGGCAGATTTCTCAGCAGGACAGGCTGGTAGCAGATAGATGGCACAGCAGGCAGGCTTATAGCAGATGGTTGACCACAGGCGGATGTCACAGCAGGCAGGGTGGTAGTAGACAGGCTGACAACCCATAGATGGCACAGCAGGCAGGCTGATAGCAGAAGGCTGGCAGCTGGTGGATGTCACAGCAGGCAGGGTGGTAATAGACAGGCTGACAGCAGGTAGATGGCACAGCAGGCAGGCTGATAGCAGAAGGCTGGCAGCAGGTGGATGTCAAAGCAGGCAGGGTGGTGGTAGACAGGCTGACAGCAGATAGATGGCACAGCAGGCAGGCTGATAGCAGATGGTTGACCACAGGTGGATGTCACAGTAGGCAAGGTGGTAATAGACAGGCTGACAGCAGATAGATGGCACAGCAGGCAGGTTGATAGCAGAAGGCTGGCAGCCGGTGGATATCACAGCAGGCAGGGTGGTAATAGACAGGCTGACAGCGCATAGATGGCACAGCAGGCAGGCTGATAGCAGATGGTTGACCACAGGGGGATGTCACAGCAGGCAGGGTGATAATAGACAGGCTGACAGCAGATAGATGGCACAGCAGGCAGGTTGATAGCAGAAGGCTGGCAGCCGGTGGATGTCACAGCAGGCAGGGTGGTGGTAGACAGGCTGACAGCACATAGATGGCACAGCAGGCAGGCTGATAGCAGATGGTTGATCACAGGGGGATGTCACAGCAGGCAGGGTGGTAATAGACAGGCTGACAGCAGATAGATGGCACAGCAGGCAGGCTGATAGCAGAAGGCTGGCAGCCGGTGGATGTCACACCAGGCAAGGTGGTAGTAGACAGGCTGGCAGCAGATAGATGGCACAGCAGGCAGGCTGATAGCAGATGGGTGACCACAGGGGGATGTCACAGCAGGCAGGGTGGTAATAGACAGGCTGACAGCAGATAGATGGCACAGCAGGCAGGCTGATAGCAGATGGTTGACCACAGGCGGATGTCACACCAGGCAAGGTGGTAGTAGACAGGCTGACAGCAGATAGATGGCACAGCAGGCAGGCTGATAGCAGATGGTTGACCACAGGGGGATGTCACAGCAGGCAGGGTGGTAATAGACAGGCTGACAGCAGATAGATGGCACAGCAGGCAGGCTGATCGCAGAAGGCTGGCAGCAGGCAGATGCCACTGCAGGCTGGCTGACAGTACAGCAGGTAGACATATCAGATGAGAGCGTACTGGACTACAGAGCTGGAGCAGGCTAGATGAAAGGATGCAGGGTCAGGCAAACCTGGTAGGCAACAGATGGGCAGATAGGGCATAAACAGCAGGCATGAGAGGAGTCAGGTCACAGGCCAATGTCAGCACTGGTAGAGGAAGATCAGGCAGAGACAGTAAGCAGAGACAGAATTCGGAGAACAAGCCAAGGTCAGGGCAGGGAGCAGAAAAGCTGGGATGAAATCAGAGGTCAGGCACTGGAATCAGGATAAACACACAGATGCTGCAGACCAAACAGCAATTAGCCAGTGCAGTAGTCCTGTTTAAATAGGCCATTTGGTGCCAGGCTTGGTGACGGCAATGAGAAAGCCTTTCCTGACAATACTTATGCCAACAAAATTTAAATTTTAACCCATAAGATCCATATCTCCAAATCATAGCTTAACACTGTCTTAAAAGAAGAAATAAAAACCTCATACACAATTTGATTTCTGCTGGATCAACTGTGGGTTTGGGTTTCTGAGAATGCTGGCATGGTAGTTATAAATGCTCCACATGGCCACATGGCCACATCAATGTAGACCCTAAAGAGGGCCAAGGAGTGAATTCTAAGAAGCCATCAGGTTCAAAGGCTGATAGACCTTCCTGTGGAACGTCTTCCAAGTTGCATCCCTTGGATAGTGGCAAAAGATGACAGCAATGATCAAGACCATTGTCATAGATCATTGTCAAAGATCATTGTGAAAGTTTTCATCCTTAAATGTTGGAAATCAAAGAAAGAACCAACTATGACAGAATGGTTGAAAGAAATAGATAGAACCAGATTAATGGAAGAGTTGATACATTCACATCAGGTCCCCTATTTGAGTTTCTATGGAAACTAGAGTAGCTGGATTGCATTCAAACAGTCTGTGATAGATGTAAGATGGCATACAAAGCAGTGTGCAGGAGATGACAGAGGAGAGATCTGTGTTGTTTACATACAGTTCTCTCCCCCGTCATAGATACTCAGCAATCACCGGGTGCCGGCAAGTAATCAACGGACAGGACCCAGTGATTGACGGTAGAAGTCGAGAATGGTGCCATGAGAGCCCCCTACCCGGAACTGCAAAATCTTGTATATATACGTGAGTTTGCGCACCCGTGCCGCCCTGTAGCACACCAAAGGACAGCAGATCATAGATCAGGGTACAGGGCCAATTGCATTGGCCTTGTACCATGTGATCACTGATCATAGCAATCACACTTGCAAACAAAGGCTTCAATCTGATTCCATTTATAGGCTTTGCTCTGTTTCTTCTTACAGTGATCAGCTGTAAGGGGGAAACAGATTGTTTCCTAGAGTGATCAATATTGTAATAATCACTCAGAATGTAAAAAAAAATTCACCAGAGCAGTGAAGTGTCACTATGATGACATGATACTGCTGTGGTTAGTGATCATAGGCACTGGCTGGCTGCTCTGATAACTCTGTATGCCAGTTCATCCAGCCAATGTCCCTGATCCCTGCCATCATCAGTAAACTATATGTCACCAAACCTGTACACTAAGCCACCATATCAGTGCAGCCAGTCACAGTGTCCTTCATCACCACACCAGTCATGGTGTTCCTGATCACCACCACAGCAGTCACAGTGTCACGACACCAGTGTAGCCAGAAACAGTGTTCCTGATCACCACCAGACCAGTGGAGCCAGCAACAGTGTTCCTAATTGCCACCACAGCAGTCCCAGTGTCATCAGGCCAGTGTAGCCATCAACAGTGTTTCTGATCACCCCCACAACAGTCACAATATTACCATACCAGTGCAGCCAGACGTATTTCAGTGTCACCAGGCTAGTGTAAGCCAACAGTGTTTTTGATCACTGTCACACCAGTCTTAGTATCATAAGACCAATGCAAGCCAGCAACAGTGTTCCTGATCACTGCCACACCAGTCACAGTGTCACTAGATTAGTGTAAGCCAGCAACGTTGTTCTTGATCACTGCCACACCACTCCCGGTATCATCAGACCATTTCAAGCAGTTTTCCTGATCACTGACACACCCATACAGTGTCACAAAACCAGTGTAAGTAAGCAACATTGTTCCTGCCCCTGTACTGAGCCTGGCCTGTTTATTGACTGTCACGGAGCTGGTCCTTCCTTCCCCATGCCCCAGGTTTGCCGGCTGACACCCTTCTGTCCCATCCATGCTGGGACTTCTAGTCCTCTTTGTCCCTGACACAGGCAGACCTCAGCAGCCCCTCACCCCCCTGGCTGCTTGGCCTCCTGCTGAGGGAGTACACGGGCAGGCCGTCTCCTCCCTTCCCCCTCATGCATGAATTCCTAGGCAGGTCTGGAGACCTGAGAGACAGGGCCCGTTGCCATGGTATCCCGATAGGAAGTATCCGGTTACCAGCTCTATTCTTAAGGGTGAGCAGGAAAACCTCTTTGTGTTCTTCTGGCTGCGTGTGTGAGGGAACGCTGTGCTGAGGGCCAGCTCCTCTCATCCCCCGTCCTCCTCCTCATCTCCTGGGACTGTCTGTGCTGCCTGGAATCCCTGCCCTGTGGAGGAATCTTCTGCTGTCCCCGTGAACCTGCCTGGATCTATCCCCTACCTGGACCTAACCCCTTGTTCTCCATGAACCTGCCTGGATCTATCCCCTGCCTGGACTTAACCCCTTGTTCTCCGTGAACCTGCCTGGACTTAACCCATCCCTGCCTGGAGCCTCCTGTGTGGACTAACCCTGTGGATTACAATACCCCTGTTGTTCCATATTGCCTTCCAGAGAACTGCACTGTGTTGCTGTGTCTGGTGTGGATGTGTGGACTAAAGGAACTGTTGTCTGTGCCCCAAAAACCTCCCCAATAAAAGCACGTTGGGTTCCGTGCAATCTGTCTCTGTGTGCTCTCTGGTTCTCTTGACATTGACCATATTTCCTCCTGCTGTCTGGACTGATCCTTTGCCTGTATGTTGACCCCATCTCTGCCAACCATCTGAACTGACACATATGCATGTCCCACTGACTAATATCTCCTGTGGATAACGGCACTCCTGGAACCAGAGGAGCTCTTGTGTTCACCATTTGTTCAGCCTCCTGTACCTCCTGGACAGTAAACATGGTATTTCTAGGGGCAGCCACATACCAGTAAGCTAGGACTACAGGTTTTTATTTTGAAAACTTGTGGCAAAAACTATAATCTTCAAATGACTTATTATGCCTATTAAATAATACTTTATGATGTGTATTCTACAAAAAGGGGTCATTTATGGGTAATTCTACTGTCCTGGTGCTCCATGACCCTCAAACATGTGGTAAGTAGTCCGGTAATTTGATGTCTAATTTATGTCTCTTGCAAGCCTGAAGGAGCTCCTGGAACTTTGGGTTCTCTAAGTGGCCAGACTGCAAAAAAAAAGTCCCACATAGGTGGCATCCTTCTACTAGGAGGAGTAGCTAAATGTATTGGGGGGTGTTATTATAAGTATGCCCATACTGCAGGAATCTCTTATTAATTTACAACTTTGTGTAAAATAATTTGTTTCTTTATTTTCCAAAAATGTGTGGGAATAAATTAAATCTTCAATAGACTCACCATGCATCCTAAAAAATACCGATGGGTGTTTGCTTTCCATAATGTGGTCATTTTTTGGGTGTTTCTATAGGGCCTTCACAATGAGATAGGTAATCAGGAAAGTAGATGAATAATTATTGTCTCTTGCAAGCCTGAATATGCTCCTTGAATTTTTGTTCCTCTATGCAGCTAGGCTCTAAAAAAGGGTCACACATGTGGTATCCCTTAGGTGGAGTAGCAGAATGTATTTGGGGGTGTAAATATAAGTATACCCATACTGCAGGAATCTCCTATTAATTGACAATGTTGAGTAAAATAATATTCTTTCTTTATTTTCAAAAAAAGTGTGGGAATAAATGAAATCTTCAATAGACTCACCATGCATTAAAGTTTAACCTCCCTGGCGGTATTCCCAAATGTAGCTCGGGGTTACCTTTTAGTACCACAAGTGGTAACCCCGAGCTACACTCAGGAATACACTGCAGCATTGCTCTGGGATCCCTCCAGCACTTACTGGGATCCCTCCAGTGCTCCCGTGATGTCCCCCCTGCAGTGTCCCCAGCCATGTCCTCCGGCCGATGCCGGCATCCGTCTTCGGGGTTCCGTTCTCTGCGAGCGTGGGGACGTACGGGGGACGAAACCGGCAGGAATTTAAAAAATGTCAAAATTTTACATTCACTCAATACACTAAAATCTGATAGTATTCCATTCCTGTATTAAACCATTTCACATAAATTTTGTCCCGAGTGCTTTGTCCGGCGCCCTGCCTGCATATTTACTGTTCTTTCTGCCTGGAAACTGAGAAACGTCCATGGCGTCCAAAAAGCGTCCCTTTACATCAAATGCGGTTTTAGACCGGCTAGAGAACAGCGATAGTAAATCAGAACCACTTGCAGAATTGAGTGATAATGATTCGTGGGGGAAATTCCTCATCAGACACTGAAAACGATTCTGCGACTGAGCTCAGCGATGTGCGAACTTGGCGCTCTATTTCACATTTCAGTGTTTTTGGTTTGATTATATTATTGAATTAAATGTATTATTATAGTATTATTATTTTTTTTTTATGATTATTTATTAAATTATAATTTATGATTTCGTGTTTCAAATTTTATCATACCCGGGATGTTTACTAGACTCTTGTTCGGACAGATTTCAGTGAGTTATTCCTAAGAATTACAGGCCTACAATAAAAAAACAACATATTTCCATGCAAAATAATGTACCGCTTTGAGCACAGAAATACTGACATAATCAGACCGCTAGGGAGGTTAATTGACAAACGTTGTGTAAAATAATTTTCTTTCTTTATTTTCCAAAAATGTGTGGGAATAAATGAAATCTTCAATAGACTCACCATGCATCCTGAAAAATTCCTATGGATGTTTGCTTTCCATAATGTGGTCATTTTTTTGGGTGTTTCCACAGGGCCTTCACAATGAGATAGGTAGTCAGGAAAGTAGATGAATAATTATTGTCTCTTGCAAGCCTGAATATGCTCCTTGAATTTTTGTTCCTCTATGCAGCTAGACTCTAAAAAAGGGTCACACATGTGGTATCCCTCAGGTGGAGTAGCAGAATGTATTTGGGGGTGTAAATATAAGTATACCCATACTGCAGGAATCTCCTATCAATTGACAACATTGTGTTGAATAATTTTCTTTCTTTGTTTTAAAAAAAAAAAAGTGTGGGAATAAACAAAATCTTCAATACTCTCACCATGCATTGAAGTTTGTTTAATTGACAACATTGTGTAGAATAATTTCCTTTCTTTATGTTCAAAATAAGTGTGGGAATAAACAAAATCTTCAATAGTCTCACCATGCATTGAAGTTTGAAAATTGAGGCAATAGCGGAAAATAATTGAGTAAGCTGAAACAATAAACATGAAGTTCCCTCCTGCTTTCAATGTAAGAATAATAAAGGGTGTGTGTCAGGGGAAATGCAGTGTGAAAAGAAAAAAAAAATCTTAAAAGATCATTAGCTAGTGGATTAATTAGCAAAGGGAAAAAAAAAAAACACACAGAGGAGAAGGAAACGTATAAAAGGGTTTCAGATCAACTCAGTAAATAATGGAGACTAATAATTCACCATAAGTGGTATTTCCATTAAAATCTACGATGGCTGATCTGACATTGCTTGCTGGAGATTTTCAAAGTAAATTATTACATCCAGACATCATCTCTAAAAATATTCACAGAATCGAGGTGCGGTATGTAACAATTGTTTGAGATAAGTGAAAACATAGGCTTTTAGAAACGTCTTCTATTGTGTTTCCTTACAGACAGAATTGTAGAAATGTATTTAGTACAACATTATATATAGTTAACCACCAGGGGCGGACTGACAATTTATGGGGCCCCCGGGCAATAGGGGATCATGGGGCCCCTGTGTCCTTGCCCAAACTCAAAAAAGCCTATGAAAAAGGTACCAGGGGCATCTCATGGGGCCCCCTACTGACCCCGGGCCCTCGGGCTGTGCTTGAGTTTCCAAATGGTCAGTCCGCCCCTGATAACATCTGCTCTCCACCTCCACCACTCAGTGTAGCTGGGTCTTTTCCAATCATTATACCATCATTTTCAACACAACTAATCCCAAAAAAAGATTGCTTTATACATTTGGAATTTGAGTTTTCCTGGTTCAATGTAACATTGCTTAAATGTTGAACCTGCAATACAATTATTTGCCCATATCTACTTATCTAACTTCATGGTTGACTATCTGCTGCCTATTTTTATGTCCCCTCCCTTCCTTTAACCACTTAACTTCTGGAAGGTTCATGACCAGGGTGTTTTTTTTTGCTATTCACCACCGCGCTACTTCTACTGACAATTGTTCAGTTATGCAACACTGTACCCAAATGAAAACTATATAACTTTTTTCACACAAATAGAGCATTCCTTGAGTGGTATTTAATCACCAATGGGGTTTTATTTTATATACTTTGCTATATAAACAAAAAAAAAAAAAATACTGATTAGTTTGAAAAAAAAAATAAAACATGTGTTTCTTGGTTTCTGTTTTAGAATTTTGCAAATAAATAATATTTTTTTTCCTAAATTTAGGCAGAAATGTATTTTACTACATTTGAAATGCCTTGAAATTTCCGCTTGCCTGCTTGCCAATGGTGAGTGGAAATTATGGTGGGGGTGAATGTGTCCCCCAGGGTTGTCTTGCTGAGCAGGCTCGGAGCTCAGGCCGGATCTGTCATTGGCACTGGGAGCCGTCAGACTGCTCAATAGCTGAGCGCAGTGAAAGCAAAGGAAGGAGTGTGTGTTGTGCTCTCTGCCTCCCCCTAGAGTGTAGTACCCGGCTCTGTGAGTGAACAACGAAGTACTGCAACTTTTTATAGGTGTGTGTGTGTACCTAATTTCAGCTCACTCTGGTCACATGATCCTCTATGTCAGCCAGTGGTGGCTTCAGGGGAGAGGAGAGAGCACTTAACAGCGTGCGTGCGTGTGTACATGTGTGTGTCTGTGTGTGTATGTACATGTGTGTATCTATCTGTACATGTGTCTGCAAGTATGTATATGTATGTGTGTGTGTGTGTGTACATGTCTGCGTGTGCATGTACATGTGTATGTGTGTGTGTTTGTGTGTATGTACGTACATGTGTCTGTGTGTACATGTGTCTGTGTATGTATGTGCATGTGTCTGTGTGTGTATGTACATGTGTTTGTGTGTATGTACATGTGTCTGTGTGTGTATGTACATGCGTTTGTGTGTATGTACATGAGTATGTGCATGTCTATTTCTGTGTATGTATATGTATCTGTATGTATGCGTGTCTGTACGTGCCTGTGTGTGTATACATGTGTCTGTATGTGGGTGTGTGTACATGTTTCTGTGTGTGTATGTATGTGTGTGTGTGTGTGTGTGTACACGTCTGTGTGTGTGTACAGGTGTCTCTGTGTGTGTTTGTTGGTGGCAATTAACTCTTAAGGCCTGGCTAGTAGCTCAGGACTTGAAATGTTAAGCCCTGGCGGTGAGTACACAGTGGGTGCTTTTTTTTTAATAAAGGACTTTTTTTTGTTTTTTGCTCCATAAAGGAATTTTTCAAAAGTTTGGTCTCTTTATTTTTTTTTACACTTAACAAGTACCCTTTACTCACTCACAAGGGGAGCCAGTGTCAGAGTGCCCCTTTATTTAAAGGGGTACCCTGATGCTAATGAGCCCCCCTACCCACAGACCCCCAGGCCAGGGTTGTGGGAAAGAATCCCATACTCATTCATCCCCCTTTTCCTGGCCTGCCAGCTCTGTGCTTGGATTGAGGGTCTGGTAGAAATTTAAGGGGGACCCCCACACTTTTTTCTCTCAATTTTTTTGAAGGCAGGGTTCCCCTTAAAAGTCCTACCAGGCCTAAAGGGTCTGCTATGGCTTTTAGGGGGAACCCCATGCACTTAAAAAAAAGAAAAAATATTGTGGGATCCCTCCTAACCTTCCTACCAGACCTAAAGGTTCTGGTATAGATAAGGGGGGGGGGGGGCAGACTGTTTTTTTTTTATTTATAAAATTCTATACATTGTACAGATGTGCAATTTTGCAGGTAGTTTAAGGGGACCTCCCAGACAATATATTTAAAGGATTTTTTTTTTTACTTTAAGCTATGACAAATGACTGTCCCTTTAAAAAAAATAATCTTTTAAATGTTTTTTTTTTCACTGATTCATGTCCCTCAGGACAGTATCCTAGTCCCCATAACTTGCATATAAGCCTTCACAATGGGCACTTTTGAATTTACAAGTTCAAGTCTCATAGACTTGCATTATGTTCGATGTTCGCAGTAGAACTTTCCTAAGGTTCGAATGTTTAACCGCGAACTGAACAGGGGGGTGTTTCAGACCATCACTAGTATTTAGTAAGAAGCGTGGTGAAGTTTTTTGCAGCTGTAATTTTTTGTCACAATTTTTTGGAACATTAACAAAATTATATAAAATGTATTTATTTTTTCACAATTTGTTTTACATACTGTCATCAGTGAAATGCAGCATCATCATATGACTGGTGTGGCAGTGAGCAGAGATACTGACTGGTGACAGTGTGTAAAAATAAATAACTAAATACACAAATAATTAACAAAATCAATAGTTTTATTCAATTTTATATATTTCTTTTTTCTTTTATGTAACCTTTTTTGTCCTTTTTTACTATTTTTTTTACATACTCTCATCAGAGTAATTCAGTGTCACCATAGTTACACAATATTACTCTGGGGAGATAATCAAGATATTTTTTTTTTAAACTATTATTGATTATAACAGTGATGAATATTGCATTCCTTGTATTTAGGTAAAAATGTTTAGGGTTCAACCAGGGGCGGACTGACAACTCATGGGGCCCCCGGGCAATAGAGGATCATGGGGCCCCTGTGTCCTCGCCCGCACTCAAGCCACACCCAAAAAATCCTATGAAAGGTACCAGGGACATCTCATGGGGCCCCCTACTGACCCTGGGCTCTTGGGCAGTGCCTGAGTTCCCCAATGATCAGTCCGCCCCCAGTGTCAACCCCTCATCCTCTTATACTCACCTGAGTTCTCAATCAATTCAGTGCAGTGCCCATCTGTAGCAGCTCTCCCCACTTCTCTCTGCTCTCAAAGGCTTGGCTGGGAGCAGCGGGAGCCATTGGTAACCACTGCTGTCAGTCAAATCCTGTGATGAGGGCGTGAGGGGGGGGGGGGTGGCTAGCCTTGCTGTCTGTGTCAATGGACACAGGCAATGTGGCTTGGGTTCAAGCATGCAAGTGTGCCACCATAGGAAGCAGCTTCCTATGGTGGTACACAAGGAAGAGGAGGGCACCAGGAGCAGTGGCGGGGGACCAGAGAAGAGGAGGTTTGGGGCCGCTCTGTGCAATACCATTTCACAGAGCAGGTAAGTATATATATATATTTTGCTATTTAAAAAAAATTAAATTTTAGACTTTACAGTCACTTTAATCGCTACAACTTGCGGCCATCCTATTTGTCAACTACATTCTCACATAAAAAAAAGAGAATAATGCAACCAGCTTTACTGATATAATAAATTTGTGTGGAATGGGTAAAACGCAATTGTTACACTTTACGAAAGGAAATTGGCAAAAGGAAATCTTTGGGGGGGGAAAAAAAGATGAAATGGTGCTGTTTTTAATTTTCATTCCACTAGAACAAACTCATTTACAATTTTGATGTGAGGTTTCATGTCATACTTTTTGTTTTTTCATATACCTAAATCAAATAAATGCATAATTCTGATATTAACCTTCTAACCAGCTGGACGATCTGAATATTTTAGAGAGTTATACAACAACATAAAACATTGGGCCTGGTTGTTTTTTTTAATTTTTGCTAGCCGACAGCACAGCATGATTGAGAATGGTTGGAATCCAACTGTATAGTAAAATATGGTAAAAGATTCTTAACCACGTGCCCTCCAGAAGATTTACCCCCTTCATGACAAGGCCATTTTTTGCTGCACTGCGCTGCGCTACTTTATTTGACAAATGCACGATCATGCAACACTGCACAAATGAAACTTATATCATTTTGTCACACAAATAGAGCTTTCTTTTGGTGGTATTTGATTGCTACTGAGTTTTTTTATTTCTGATAAATTTATGGAGAAAACTTTTTATTATTTACTTTTTTCTATAAAACATATCCGAGAAAAAAAATGTAAAAATGCAATTTTTCATAAATTTTGTCCAAAACATATTCTGCTACAGTAAGTGTATATTAATTGGTTTGAGTGAATGTTATAAAATCTGGGGGGCGTGTCCAAGATGGCGACCGGAGCGGCCGCATAATCCGGAGCTCCGGCGCCGATTTTCGGAATCCGCTGCCATCCGTGCAGCAGCGGATCACGGTGAAGCAGAGGAGGGCCCTGGTGTCATTCCGGATACCTGGGAGGTGGAATCCGGGCGACATTTCCGCCCCTCGTGGCGGCGGACATCCGCGGCCTAGTGCGGCCGCGCGGGCCGGGGCTCCGGCATCTTCCATCTACACCCGCTGCCATCCGGGCTGTAGGGGTTCATCCGAGGACGTCTGCAGCGTCCTCAGTATCACAGAGGCTGGGAGAGGGACGCCGCTGTATATTGCTGTTCCCCACGGCGGCGGTGACGGTTGCGGCCTACACCTTCTGTCAGAGGCCTCCTTTCACCTGGACACAGTGAGTGGGGGGTACAGGCGGCATCCTATCACTATGATCTCCCCACAGTGCTTTGGGGAGTGGGCCACATATTAATAGCCCCAGAATCCATCATCCTCTGTGACTGTGGCCCTTACTGTGCTCAGGGGCCTACTGGGGCCTTGATACTGCCCCAGAGGGTGTCTCCATGCGGGGCCCTGTACTCAGAATTGGAGGTCCTCTGCTTCCCATCCGTCCCTCTCATGCCCTGAGTTGGGATCCAGTGCCATCGTCTTGCTCCACCGTGAATTTATCGCAGGATTACTGCGACTTATGTTCTATCTACCCTCTCAAAGCTTGCTGAATATTTTTACAATATAATGCTATCGCATATGGATCTGACAGCTTCCATGTAACTACAACCCTGAATCTATTTTGGGCGCTATAGGTCCCCTGGGGTTATAATCTTCACTCACTTTCCACTTTTCAGTTGATCACCCCCCGGGAGATTACTTGTATGCCGTCCACCAAGAAAAAAAAGGGACAAGCTCAGAAGTCCCTCACAACATACCTACTTAAGGCTCACGAGATTTGCGGCATGTCTCCAATCAATACAGAGCAAGCATCCCTGTCTGATCCCGCGCGGGATACCACCGCTCCCCTTATCGGCCTTAGTCAGCGAAAATACACAGCATCTCACAAAAGGGGACTTGGAGTCCTGTTTGGAATCTATGTACGCCAAACTAGCTGCCAAATTTCAATCAGAATTGCATAAAAGCACTAATGTTCTCTCTCAAGAAATAGCCACGCTGGGCTCTAGGACAGACCGCTTGGAAACCAAACACGATGAACTTAGCCTGGCCTATGGTGAACTTTCCAGAGAACATGATCATTTACAAACGGCTTTTTCACAACTGCAGGCGCAGGTCGAGGATCTTGACAATCGCAATCGCAGGAATAATCTGCGAATCAGGGAATCCCGGAGTCTATGTCAGATCTTTCATTAATTATAACCAAATTGTTCCAGTCACTCCTCCCAGATCGTGACCCTGGATCTTTTGCTTGTGACCGCATCCACAGAGCTCTACGCCCTAAACCTCCTGCTGACAAGCCGCCTAGAGATATTGTCTTGTGCATGAAGGATTTTCTGACCAAGGAAGAAATCCTCAGAGTTGCTCGCAATACTCCAACAATCTCCTTTGAGGGCTCGATTTTACAAATCTATCCTGATGTTTCCCCGGCCACGTTGGAAAAACGTAGAAAGATGAAAGAAATTACACAACTGCCCTGTTCTCAGCTCGTATCCGCTACAAGTGGGGCTTCCCTTTAAGCTGATAGTTCCACACAATGGGAGCACATATATAGCTACATCCCCTCCCGAAGGTAGAGCAATCTTGGCCAAATTGGGCTTGGCGGATGCCCCATCACCTCAACGTCCACCCTCCACCCCTCGTATTTCTCCCATTTGGCATACCCCTTCCCCACGGAGGAATAGAAGGAGAGTCAGACAAGAACCGGGTTGACGTG